ATGAACTTCCATGCCGGGCCGGAATCAGTGGACGAAAATTTCGAAGCAGAGATTTGTATCAGTCCTTAAAGAAATAGTGTAATAACTCTAATGTGGGCAATATGAAGGGATGTCTCAGAAAACGCTTGATAGAGTTTATCAAGGAATGGAGAAAACATCACATTCTTCTGGGAATATGAACACGGGAAATCCGGCGTTATAACGTTGTTCAAACCTGCCATTTATATTTTATATAATTATATCATAATCTCCTTGAACAGATGCTCTTTCGCATCATAACTATCAGTCGAAGCGCGAGCAATTATTCGAAAACTCTTTACATGCAATCAAAATGATCCTACGACCGAAAACAGAAGAATCACTTTATCACTGAAGAAGGATAAAGGAAAATTTTCAGATGTAATTTTATGGAATATGTCTAGTAGCTTCAGCATTTGGAAATTAACCACTACTTGCTTAGCGCACTACACTTCAACCGCTTTAGGCTTGTAACAATCACTGCCGACAGGACATGAGCATCCGTAGTATCTTTCGATGAGTCAAAGCTATCAAATCACCGCTACACACACCTACATGAGAGCTAGCTTCTGCCTTGCCTTTCGAAAGCAGATGAAGCGAAGCACTTCGAGAGACAAAGGATTCGTGGTGTTACCATCGAAATTCGGTCGATCAACATCGGCTAACTAGACAGACTAAATTCGTGGTATTACTGTCGTCAAAAAACGAGAAATTAATTTTTCACGGAAGTAATTTTTTTCATTCTGAACATGTCATTTATTTCATATCGCATGGCCACCGGTTCCAGTAAGTGCCTTCAATGGCCTAGTTATCGGCCTAATTATCAGAGAATTTCATCAAAAAAAGAGCTCCACTAACTTCAACTGTTCATCCACGTCGCTGCAGAGATCCCTTTGCGACTCTGCGCCGTCGCCTAAGAGGTAACACTTACAGAAAGACGATGACGTATGGTTCGCGCTGCTACGCAGAGCAACAGCGAAAACTATAGATTACTTCTCGAACGCCTCCCTCTAACTTAACTTAGTTTCGAATGCGTTCTTTGCAAATCCGCACAAAGGACGATGCTTTGTAGCCATTTAAGAAAAACCATCGGAAAAACGAAAAGTCTGTAATCACTTGGATGTCAGCCTTGCATAATTTTCACACTCTTCGTCATGGAGCTAATGAAGCGGTACTAATAAAAAGCGTCTCCACGCCAACAATCAAGAATGTTACAATTTTCTGGAAAGCAACGTCTACAACTCGGTAATCCGTACACTGTGTAGTCTCCGGCATCATTTATATATACTGGTATAAAATTATTTGCATCGTGATGAAAAGCGAGCTTACTCGGTCAGAATCGCACCGATGATCGTTCGACTCTTAGCCAGACGCGCTATCCACTAAGCAACTCTTTCAAAATACGAAAAGAACTAGGAACGAAATCATCCAGCCTATCCTCCTACCTTCCAATGTCTCATGGGAAACTCTGTCAGCAGCAATTTTTTAACCATCATTCACGGTCATGCGCAATCAGTTTCACCATATCAGCATGAAATTCCAAATTTATTGTTTTAAATCACGCTACAAATGACAAAAAGCTATAAATACAAATAAATGGTGAAGAATACATAAAATCATAATCTATTAAGTATTATGTATCAACGTGTATGTGCATTAATCATTTAAATACTGTACTTTGAAATGGATTTCGGGACTGCAAGATATGACCTACGGCTTTATAAATATGTTACATGTGCGGCTGGTTCCCTTTAGTCATCGTTTAATAAAAATCACTTGAATAAATTATGCAAATGCTATAAACCGTAATTCAAACTCAGTACCTGGAATACAGTAATTACGCTGTTCTTATAAAAAGGCTGAAAACGCATCAAAAATATAACATCTACATTTTTCAATATGATGATCTACGTTCGATTACTTAAATAAAGGTCCTTTGTTAAGATTATAACAACTGAATCTTAGATACCTAACTTTGAAAATCTTTAGGGTTGACGCAATTTTTACTCGTCTACACAACTGCACATTTCGTCGACCTTTTCATCACCCTTTCTCCGGTGAAGAAGTGACTTTCCTGAACATCACTGTATGGGAAGAAAAGTCAGATGTAATGTACCTGACTGTAAATAATCTTTAAACAATATGGCACAGCCGGCTGACTGTATCGCAACTGAGATCAGTATGGCACGAGCTTCGCGGGGAAACCGGGACAAAAAAAAACGGAAGACGACATCTCAAATAACTAAAAAATTATCTTTCTCTAGTTTTTTCTTTAGGAGAGGAGAAAGGACATCGGCATAACGTCCCGTCGGAAATAATTAAACCATTCTGGACCTAAGATTCGACAATCGCCAATAGTAGCAAGGATAAAAGCAACCACTGCGCCTAAATGGAGTGCAAATATAACGCCTTAAACAAAATCACATCAAACAGCAAAGGAAGAATATCCCGACCTAGAACAAAATACTGCTTTGAACGCTATTAGCACAAAGCATGAGAGCGCAGATGCGATATTTTATAAATGTAGTAATAAAACATGTTTCTGTGCGACCCAACAAAGTTGTAATGTTTTGCGCCCATGCACCGCAAGTGCTATGCTATTATGGAATCTTGGTCTGTTTAAACGATCCCCAACGCTATTAGAAGCAAAAGAGAACGAAATGGTTATGTCAAATAAATCTGGAGAAGTAACAGGGGACTGCTGAAGAGGTGACACTGAAACAAAGATAAAACAGTTTAATTACACGCAAAACTAAAAAGTCAGTTTATGAGGTGACAGACTATCATTAACGCTTTGGCCAGTTCTTCACAGGCCTTCTTTAAGGTAAATGTTTTGGTCACTGGTCAGCACTGTTGTCGTCAAGGTCTTGCGGTAAAACATGCTGCAGCTGCACCGACCGATAACAACGATCCAAGCCCATATCGAAGCCTTACCAAGAAGAAAGTTCCAACGGGTGGAGCCGAAACGTTTTAGTGGACGATCGTGTAACCGCTTGACCGCTTGCAGTGCAGCGTTTCAGATCATAAGGAGATGAGGGAGAGGGGGAGGTAAGAATGCTCACTTCGTGGCTGCGTCGCATGCATCACGGACTAAGCTTACATGTACACCAAAACACGAGGTCCACTTGGCCATGCCGGACTGCAAACAGCGCTCTCAAAGCACTTTCGACAGCTGCTATGCGTCAACGAAAAGGAAAGGTGTTCTGGTTCTACCCGAAGTTAGTCATGACTAACAGCAAACACAAACACTCATGGGTTTTTTTATAGCCAAGTCACAGAACATTAACTTTTCATGGATGGGGTTACACCGCGGAGACTTGTCGTCTGAGTACGGCACCTGATTTATTTTTTAAGCATGTTATGCTGAAATGTTTTCAAAATTTTACCCTAACGACTTCAAAGCGGTCACTCGTGTGCGAGACGAGGTAGTTAATATTAATATCTTATGCTTAAATATCGAAGTTTATGCCATTACGCTGCAATATGTCCGATAATGCATATCCTTCTTCAAGACCAGGCTTGCTTAAATGCCCCTGGCAATTATGAGCAACAGGAAACTATTTAACTAGCAGCAAGGACGAAAAACAAGCCTTCTGGCTCCACATGTATCAACCGCTGCGACGACAAAAAGAACTTTCAAAGGCAGTAAACGAATCTTGAAAAAGGTTCGTGCGACACGGGTCAAAACGTGGGTACTGGTCAAAGATGCCATTAATAATATTTCTTTCGTTATGCATAAATGTTGTTTTCATCAGGACCACCGACGAACGAACGAAATATTGGATCTCTGGAAACAAGGTGCAATACTGGTGAAAACTGACCTTAAAGTCTAATTCCAAATGCTTGGCAAAATTCCAAAAGGCAACGTCAATTAGTTCCCCTTTACACCAAAGATTATGAATTTGGTGACGCTGTTCCAATTATGACTGTATCGTCGTCCTATATTTTTGCCGTGGACCATGAATTGAAAAGAACTGGTCAAAACACAAACTGTTCTGCTCATGCTAATATCAACAAGCCACTGTATAGGGGTACCAATGTTAAATAAGGTGTCTCATCATGCCCAAAATAAGAATATAATCTTTAGTCGAAATCAAAATTCCAATTTTCAGAGAGAGAGAGATGAAGACCTGCAGTTTTAGACAGAACGGGAAAGACTGTAATCACTGGGACATCGGTTTTCCATACACTTTCATGATTGATCGTTTCTATTCATTAACATTTTGGCACCATTCTTTACACTGGTCTTCTGATGTGGCGCTGATTTTCATTTTATGTCATCAGCTTGGAGCTTCTTGTGTTCTAGACTACGCCTACAGCTAGATGACAACTGTAAAGTGTTGCTGTCTATTTCTTTCCTGCGAAATGGAAACTGCTTTTTACATTCCAAGGATGAACAGGAAGTGGACTGCTGGGCTCGAACCCAGCACCTTTCGAATGCGATTCAATCGATTCAGCAATTTTGGAATTTCAGCCGAACACGAGCACCTAAATTAGTGCAGTGAGAAGCAAGCAACGGAAAAGGAAAAAGAACTTAAGGGGTTTCACTAGATTCAGTTCGACACTCCAACTTTCAAGGGTAAATCAGCAGTCTCGTGTTTTAGAAGGAAGGCAAAGCCTCTCACACCCTCGGCCGGTACATTGGAAACGAGAAACGCAGGACGGAGAAAAACTTGGAAATGAGCCAAAAGCCGGTTTTACTCTTCACGGCAGCAGAGAACTAGACAAACGCTTACAATGGGCAAGAGCACAAACAAAAACGTTAAAGAAAAACCAGTCGGAAAATGTAAACGGTTCTTACCAAGTGCACGTTGTCAGCGGCTGGTATGAGGCGAGGCACCACGGAGTCGATGATCCTGGATGAGGTAGAGAGAGGGTGCGACTGCGTATCTTCGACATAGCGCTGGCAGTTAAAGCCTGAGGACGACGAGGATGAGCTGTTGCCGACGGCGACGCTGCAGTTGTCCGGCGAGGAGGTAGTATTGTACGTAGGCGGAGGCTGGGACGGACGTCCGGTGGGGGGAACAGGGACAGGGCCGCCGATGTCCTGCACGAAGTTGAACGCCGTTCGGCAGATCGGGCAACAGCGTAGTTCGTGGCTGTTCAAGCACCGCACACAGAACGAGTGCAGGCAAGGGTAGGTCTGCAGGTCGCTCAGCGACGCGGTTTGCCGATGGCAGACGTCACACAGTAATAGCAACGTGGACGACGAACTCGTCGCCGGAGTTCCTTCACCGGACGCATTCTGGAATAACATAAATTGACCGACCGGTCTCACCTATTCGGATCCGATCCGGTCCGATCCCTAGAACAATAAAAACTAAAATAAATCAACAAACTACAAACGGTCGAAGAAAAAACACGTCAGCAATCAGGACAAAAAACAGCATCGGCGAAAGTCGATTGGACGCGCGCCTAAAAACAAAGCAGAACTTCTTGGGATGATGAACACGACAGCGACAAAGGCCAAACAGGCCCGCTTAATCAATAGCTGTAAAAAGAGCGACAAAGCGCTTCGCAACGACCAAGAAAAAACCCAAATGACGACAACATCGTCCCACCGGCGAAACGACGTCAAAACCGGGTCACTTTACAGCCGGGGACAACCGAAGGCCATGGCCGGAACCGGGGACAACGCCCGCCAAACGCGACACAACGCACAACGCCGAGCGCCATCAACATGACGCACGTCAGAACGCCGTAAAGTAGTTAATTTGTCGTAGAGAATATGCAACTTCTCCATCGCCAGCGTACGATAACTTCGGCGTTGGTAATTAATTATACAAAAAATATCTTAATGAAACCTCGTTAACCAAGAATTACACGAATTTTCGGAGAACCAAATAAACGTTAAAAAAATCGGCTTTCTTTCGACCTTTAATACTTACGTATAGTTTCATTGCCACCCCCGATGAGAAGAAACTGCTAACAGCGAAACGCATCATCGTCTTATGAAAGCAATTATTAAACGCTGCTCTTAAATAGCAAATACAATCGTAGATGCTCGGCTTAGAATCGCATGGCAGGTGAGATTAGAAAAAGTTCAACAAAAACATGCAAAATGGAAATAGCTGAAATTACGACAGTTATTTATTGTGAATAACATATGCAACGCAAGGATTAATTTTCGAATTTCTAGGAAGCATGTGATTTTCTTGGAGGCATTTGTTTTTTAAAGAACATTTACAAATGCACTGCGAAGATGCGTAATCACTATGTCATGGCGTTATTAAGCCTTCATTCAACTAGTATTTTCTGATCGCATATAATTGCTTTTATTACAATTTGCATATAACGCTTTAAGCTGAATATCATACTTGCTTTGAAATCCTAATTGCACAGTCTTATTTATAAGACACGCTATATAATATCTCTTATAAAATAGTATTTTTTTTCTGTGCAAATATGTAAACGATTATCAGTGTCGTCTTTAACGGCTTGCTCTGCTCCATATTACTCATAAATGTCCAGGATATTCTTAAATAAAATAATTGAACCGAGGCAAATGAAAGTATGAAAGTATTCATTTGCAAGTAGCTAATGAGGTAGTCGGAGCAATTTCCAACGGAGGCGGGGGAGGGGAGTCAGAGAATTCATTGCTATGAGCAGCTCAGTTTTGGCTCACAACTAATCATGCAACTATGAACCATAAAATTGACCATTCCAGCAATTAAAAGTCAACAAGAAGCAAGTTCGTTCGTTCGTTCCTTGCCAACGAAGTTAAATTAGATTATGTCCGCAATACGGCCTACTGGTACAAACTCGATGTACTGACAGTCACGGACGCTTGTCTCTGGGGAAGGGGACCTTGACCTTCACGATAGGTGGCAGTTTTGGTGATCAGGAAACAGTAGATTACACCGTGCTGGTGTAGGTACCCTATTTTCCCACAGGTTAAACGGAAGCCTGGAGTTTCAACTGGACTACGTCCTCATCAGTGACGAAGAGAACAGTCGTTTCTCGAAACTTGCCTCACGCATGGTACTCACTTTGGCTCTGATTGCAGTATGGTCGCAGAGTAACCTCGTCCACGATGAATCGTGTCACGTTGATGTCGCCTGGTTGAAAAACGTCACCTGCTTAACGTTGACAGACGAAATATGACGAATCGTCACAATCAGCCTACGAAAATGCAGAAAAAAGTAATTTTAATGCCGAGGCGAGTCTGACACCGTTGATGAAGTTAATAAAGACTTCAAAAAAGGCCTTGTTTCCTCGGCGAGAATCGTATTTGGGATAAGAAGGAAGATAGCCAAATTGACTCTGGCTACTTAGAAGACCGTAGCCATTAAACCGCAAAAGAAATTATGAAAACAATAAGTACTTACAGCACCCTACTTGACACTGGAAAGCAGCTCGTCAACGTTTTGTTCGTGCAGTTAACCAGAGTTGGGGGTCAAGGAACTTTGGCTTAAGGGAGTGGAAATTAGGAAGATCAATAAGGCAACTACAAAGGCTTACTGGCGAACACTGTTCAAACGAATACGACAATTTCTGTGTAAACAGAAGCTCGCCTATTCTCATCCAAGATGCCAAGGTTGTACTACTGGCAAATTAGAAAAAGATCTCGAAAATTAGGCCGAGCATTCCCAGCAGTTGCTGTCATATCCGATTGTTAATTCAGTGCCAACAAAGTAACAGATCCACCCATAAGACTAGAAATCCAGAAGGCCATGCTACATCTCAATGTAAAAAATGTCATCGAAATGCTTGGAATTTCTCCAGGGATAACTAACTGTGGAGAAAACTTCCATGCCCAATACCATCAGATTTTGACCGCTGAACGGTACTCGGGAGAATGGAAGTGTGGAATAATTGTTCCTGCATTAAAGGCTGTTCGAGCGACTGAATCTTTCAAATATCATTGTATTACATTACTGTGAAATCTCTAAAAAAAACCTAAGGCTGACGTTGGCAGATACGGGATATTTTTTCAAAAGTTAAGGCGGGCTTCAGCATGTGGTATTCCAATCCAGACATAATGTTCACTCTGCATAGAATCATTGCGCAATTTCTACGATTCCATTCGCCTTGGTTTGCCTGTTTCTCCGATTTTAAGGCTGCATTTAATTCAGTACATCGTTTGACGATGTGGAAAATCTTGAAACGCAGTGGGATACTCGATCATGTTGTTTAGACTGTGGAAATGTACACCGGAACCATATCTGCTGGCAGGGCCGAAAGAGAATTAATCGAATTCTGAGTGGTTGCCTACTAAAGGGTGATGTGCTTCGCCCTTGCTATTCAAAACTGTACTTAACTTTCTTCTCTGAAATATTGCCAACCCTGGCAGAGACGAAAATCTCATTCTAGAGGGAAGGAGCAATTCAAGATGTCAGGTTAAATGCCTACTGACCTGAAGCGCGCAGATGATATTGCCTTGTGACTAGTAATGAAAACGGATTCTGCCACCTGACAGCTCCGATATGCCACATAGCTGCGAAAGACCGCCTCTTCCTTAATGCCCGGAAGTCAGAAGTTATGCATCCGGCACAGCTGAGCTGCAAGTGAAACAAGGCAGTGAGGATCGTCAGGAAGTATAGTTTAAATATCTGGGCTTCATCATCTCCAGCTACTATCCAGCTAGACTGAAATTAAAGAATCGTCTCTGCTTCTGGTGCTTTTGGAAAAATGCTCAATGTTCGCGATGAAAAAGCGGCTACTTGTCGTCCGAAGATTTGCATGTAGATTTCCTCTGTCAAGCCAGTGTTGTTATAAGATATGAAGAAAGCTGCTCAAAGCGAACTAGCAAGAACGACCGCTGAACAGCAGCTTTGGCTCTGACGCATAATGAGAGTTAAACAGCAAGACCGCATAAGGCACGACTAGAATCTTTTCTGGGTATAGATGATCTCGATAGAGGTAGTGATTAAGGAAAAGAGGTTGGCCCTATTAAGAAACTTTGTTGAGCATGAAGCATTTACTCCATCCTGTGAACTCCTCTTATGGGAGGCGAAACACAACAGACGTCGATCAGGAAGCCTGCATGCAATATAGAGGAACAAGAAAGAGGCAGATCTTCTATCGGAGAGAAATATTTCTTTTTGCCGTGCAGTACAAATCCCTCAAAACAATGGTTAAAATCTGCCAATAAAATGAACGTCACAAATTAGACATGTTCTGACCAAAGACTCAAAGTGGTGATCTCTTCAACACTTAAAGAGGATGAAGAATAATGC